ATAGCTGTTGAGGTATTTGTCTCATCTTCCCAGGTAGAAAAATAGCTCTTTGAGGAAAGAGATGCACCATTCATTTCTTTACTCCTGGAAGATCTAGCACAATATAAGTACTTAATAAGCCTCAATAAACACTTGTTGAATGGATGAACCTATTGCAAAATCAATTTTTGTGTTAATAACAAATAATTATTGCTAGTCAGCAAAACTCAGCAGTTTCCTTATGAAATAATACAAGTGAATTAAGGAAAGAAAAAAAAACCCATTCTGCTAGATATCAATGAGTAATGTTACAGGGCTACAAAAATTATTTGGCATGTAGATTAAAAATTAAAACAACTTGAATTTTTTCTAAAATTATAAGGCGGTATGATAGTGCAGGGGCAGCTAGGTAGAGCAGGGGATAGAGTGCCAGATCGGAGTTCAAATCTGGCCTCAGATACTAGCTGTGTGACTCTGGGCAAGTCACTAGTTTACCCTGTTTGCTTCAGTTCTTCATCTGTAAGATGAACTGGAGAAGGAAATGGTAAACCACTCCAGTATCTTTGCCAAGAAAACCATGAGTGAAATGACTGAACAATAAAAATAACAAAGGATAGTACATAAATGTCAAATGATTATTGTATGAGGACAAAGATCACAACCAACTCCATCAAAAAAAAAAAACATTGATTTGCTAAATGTCTCCACTGTGCTAGGTCCTGGGTATATAAATACAAAGAATGAAACAATCTCTGCTCTCAAGGACCTAACATTTTACTGTTGAAGATGATCAGCACATGCATAAATAAACAAGAAAAAAATCTTTGGAGAGGCAGCTTTGGCGGTGACAGAAAGTACAAAGTAGAATCTGGAGTTAGGAGATCTGAATTAAATTCCCAACTCCAACACTAGCTTTGTCACTCTGGGAGTCATTTAAGGTCTCTGTCCTCAGTTTTCTCATCTGTAAAATGGAGATAATATAGGGTCACCCAAAAATCTTAGTGTAGTTTTTAACTATTGGAGCTTAAAACTGAACTAAGATTTTTGGGACACTACCTCAGAGGGCATTTCTGGTTCTGCTTCTGGTACTGCCTCTTCAGATCCTGACACACACTTGCTGTGTAACCATTGCCAAGTCACTTAACTTCTCAGTATACCAGACATCTCTCTTAAATTATGTATTACGGGCGAGTTGCAGATTTCTGTAAATGGAAGAAAGATTTCACAACAATGAAATCACAAGTTTAGAACACATTACCTCCTACCTCACAGGATTGTACTGAGGAAAAATTGGCTAAATGTTTGCCATTACAGTAAATTATATTGTACACAGGGATATGCTTAATGGATACTTTTAATTGTTATTTAAATGTACTCGATGTTAAAATAAACTTTGTTTTAGACTATATAGTAAATGCCATTTTATTATGTCTAAAAATAATATGGTTGCATAATAGTCCAAACATATATGGAAACAGTATAATGTAATATTATAATTCCTTTATGAATAACTTAATGAGTTTTTAATTTGTACTCTCTTGGAATGCTTGTGCCTGAGCTTCCCTTCCCCCTGCCTTTAAATGAACAAAATATCTCAAGTTTCTGTACTTAAAAACAGAAATGGCTTGAGTTTACCAGTCTCTTGCATTCCATTTGTATAATGCCCTTTTGTCAAAACTTGCTAATATTTTGAGGCCACTAGTGGTGGCTCTTCTCTGTAGCATATTGTAGTGATTATTAAAGGTTCAGTTATTATTTATTTCTGGTTGAACACTGATGGTTGATGTGGTGTGAAACAGATCACACAGGAAGATCAAGTTCCTGTTCACTGATTGTAAAATCTCATCATGAATCATTTATTGGTTCCCTTCTTCCTCTGAACATTGAATTCAATACCAAACTGAAAATTACAGAATATTTTAAACTATTGACTTTAACTGTTTTACTAAAAGAATTTGAAATAGGAAAACTGAAATTTTAAAAATTAAACTTTGGAAAACCCATGAAGAAGACGGATTCTTGACAAATACCTAGATAAAGGCTTTTTTTAAAAAAAATGTATCAATAAGAGAAAGAGTAGGATTCAGTGTCTAAATATAATGAATCAGTAACATTTTACTGAAAAGCTGTGGTCTTTTTTGGATATGTAATTATGGTATTTAGAGAATAATTTTGGCTTATTTTACAAAGGAATACAATATTGCTGTAGAATATTTGTGTCACAGAAAGTTGGAAACTTCAAAAAAAAAAGACTGGTCCCATGTGTCTAAAATATGTTTCAGCTTGTTATGTTGATGTCATAAATAAACCTCACAATTCTTCCAAGTCATTCACTCAATTTCCTCCTGAATTGATAGGAGTACTAATGTTCTGGTGTAAACTACTTTTGGAGTTTTTACTATACTTGGTGCTTCAAACTTTATGAAAATATCTTTTTTTTTAACCTATATAGAGCTTCTTGGAAAAAAATGAAAATGGTAGCATCTGAATTTTTCTAATATGTTTTATCAGAAAAAGTGAGATAATTTGTATTTTTTAAAGATGTTGGAATATCTGGAGGACATCTCTGTTTATACCCAATGTAGCATCTACACCTTGTGTAGATTGTGTTGTCCTCTAGCATCCCTGGTACTGTAGCATCATCACTGATGGTCGATGAAGAACTGGAGGTTCCCATTCTTAATGATACTTTGAAAGACATGTGACAGTTGAGGAAAGGCTGAATAATCTGTGATATATGAATGTTATGGAATGCTATTTTGCTATAAGAAATAAGGAAACAGACAATTTCAAAGAGATATGGGAAGACATATGAACTGATGCAGAGTAAAATGACTAGAACCTGAAGAAGAAGTTATATCAACTGTACTCAAACTTTTTGGTCTCAAGACCCTTTACACTTTTAAAACTTATTGAGGATTCCAATGAGCTTTTGTTTGTGTGGGCTATATCTATCGAAACTTACTTTATTATAAATTAAAATATCTTCATATTATGATGATAATAATTTTGACCTCAGAGACCTCTTGAGTCTTGAGTACAATTGGGGGGTGCCTAGATCATACCCTGGGAACAATCGATTTATATTATAACATCTTTTTTATAAAAACAAACAATTTTGAAGATTATAATAAACTGATGAACAATGAAATGAGCAGAAACAAAAGAACAATTTATATAACATGGTAAACCAAACAAACAAAACAAAAACTTTAAAGCTATGATCTATGATCAATATGACAATGCGTGATTCCGACAGATAGATGATGAAACCTACTGAGAGGTTAATAGATTTTTTGGATGCAGAATGAGACATGTGTGTGTGTGTGTGTGTGTGTGTATTTGTATAGAGTTAATGTTGGAATTTTTTTCCTTTTCTGTATTTTAATGAGCTAAGATGTGGGAGGGAGAGAAAATAGATTTCTGTTAATTAAAAAAACTTTTTAAAAAAGAAAAGGGAATGCTACAGATGTGGAATGTTACTGTGCACTTTCTGATGAGGTCACTATATTATTAGTTTTATTTACTTGTTTTTACTTTGTTAGGAGACCTCTCCTGGGGTGGGGAAATCTGTAAATGCTTATAATATAAAACCAAAACGCATTAATAAAACTTTTTAAAGAAAAAAAAAAAGAAAGATGAGTGACTTCTTCTGTGTAAGTGTTTTCTCCACCAATAAGATCTCAACTTCTCACCCTTAAATGACTGCCAACTTTTCACACAGGAAGACAGGGATGTTTTAATCTGTCCTTACCGCCTTCCTAATTTGTGGCAGGGATAGCCTGAAATACTAAATGTTAAATGAATTGCGTGCTTTCTGGTTTCTAAAGTGCTACACTAGATAAAGAGAATTTTCTTGGGTAGCTAGGATTTTGCGAATAATATTTCATTTAGCTAATGGGAAATTTAAAAGCTTCGATGACATTGTAACCAAAGCACTCCGGAAATGCCACCGTGCAAATAATGTGAGATATAAAAACAAAAACAAAAACAAAACAAACGCAGAGGTTAGAAAACTACAACAAATGCACTTACGTAGTTGCTAAAGTACATTGGAAACCAATGTCATTTAAAAAGAAATCTAAATCAAAGATGGAAGAATAGCTGAGAAACACGTGTTATGAGTCTCTTCCAAAGCTAATAGTCTTCAAGACAGGGTGCCTAAGTGCACTTTCCTTAATAAAACGAAAGCCAAAAAAAAAAAAAAACCCGCTCTAAGTGATGGAATGGGAAGGGGTGGTGAGAAAAAGGAGAGCATGGAGAGTCCCTTGTGGGCAGTGGGAAGAGATCTTTCAAGAAACCGGCGGTGTTTGAACACGAAGACATAGGCTCAAAGAGGAGACCTTAGCGAGCACCCAATCCAACCTTCCCATTTTATAGAGGAAGAAACAAGCCCCGAGAGATTAGCTAAAATAGCTAAACTATTAGATTAAGCTATAAGATGAGCTAGCCAAAACCACACAGCTTCTATGTAGCGGAGACGGGATTCGAGCCATCAGTCCACCGAGATGTTCAAATTTATTACGGTACTTCATAGAGCTCACCGCGTAACAACTATCCCTTACCCCAGCAGCGACGTCAGGCTCCTTGCTTGGGGACAGCTAGGAGCTGACCATAAAGAGGCTTACAGATGACCAAAGCGGTAGGGGGAGGGGGTGGCCCAGGATCTGAAGGAGGGAGATTCCCAGGCTCTGAAAATAAAGAAAGCACATACCGAAGCCTGGAAAACATAATGCTTTAACTTTACCCCCCTTTAGAAAGCTCTAATATGAACTATTACAGTCAAATGTTTCATTCCCTCCCCCCCCCACCGAAAGGCTGAGACCAAAAGTTAAGAGTATCTTATCTAAACTTTGCGCCTCCCCCAGCGCAGGGCACCAGCTCGGCATTCATCAGCTGCTTAAAGAAATGTTTATTGAACTGGATTGATTTAGATCGGACGGGACTCGATTGAACTCTCTCGTTCCAAGCAGACCTGGTGTTCAAGCTCTGGGATGGAACCCGGGGCAGCGAGAGCCTACCTTGACGGGATGCAAGTAGCCATCTCCTCGCAGAGCGCCCAGCCCCGGGTCTGAGGGCGCATCCTCCTCGTCCTGAAGGCTGCGGGTGAGGTGGGCGATATAGGTGGTGGCCAGCAACAGCACGTCGAGCTTGGAGAGCTTGGTGTCTGGGGGCACAGAGGGCAGGGTCCTCTGAAGCTCCAGGAAAGCGTGCCGCAAAGTCTGCACTCGACTACGCTCCCGGGCAGCATTCGCAGCCGCCGGCCTCCCGCTCCCTGCCCGGGGCCCGGGCCCGGGCACGGCCGGAGAACTGCAAGCTGCGGCTGTGGTGGGGAGCGGCGGATCGGGCTCAGGGCTGGAGTTGGGCTGGCTGCTTCCAGAGCCGCTGCTGTTGCAGTCCATGGGTGTCTTCTCGGGCACTGAAGTACTTCAGCTACCTGCAAACTGCAACCTGTGACCAGACAGAAATAGCAATGAGCTCCGCTTGGGGTCAGTGCCCCCCTGTGCCTATCCGCAGCCAGGAGAGCAAAAGCTGAAGCGGCAGCTGGACCGGAAGGGAGACAGGCTAGTGGAGCCCTCCTCCCCTCGATGGACATCCATATATTCCCTGACCCTAGAGAACTAGAGAACTGGTACTAGGCCCCTTCCCGGCGTGCACAGTTCAGGCTTCTGGCTTAGCCAGGAGAAGTTTCTTAACTCGTTAGTTTTATACCCGAAAACATAACTTTTAAATATGCAGCCTGGGGCGTCCAGAGAAAAGCCAAATTACAAATTCAATCAAACGTTCTACCCAGGCACTGGAAAACCACCCGGTAACTCAGGCTGTACTTTCCCCGTTGGCTGTTGTCCTTCGTAATTGAAGAGGACCAAAATGACATTAAGCCACATTACTGTGGCTGATCAAACTAGTATATGCTCGGAAGGCTCTACCACAGGTCGGTCACAAATAGACGGTGTGAACATTTGGTAAGGAGATGTTTCTAAATTTGCGCATCACGTACTTTGCCGCCAAGGAGATAAGATATAGATAAATTTAGACAATTTTAATGAGACAATTTTTTCCCCGGATCTTTTTGGCAAGAGACAAACTTCTGCTGAAAAAGTTAAAGAGTCTTGAACATTTTCTCTCCCCTGCCGGGTAAAAGTGGTCAGCAGACTGGCTCTGCAGTGGTTATTGAACGTTTCCTCTCTTTTGCCTGAGATAAGAAACTCAGAGGTGTACCCTGCAGAAGGGAAAAACTAAATAATACTGGACACCTAACTCCGAGTTCTGGATAGCTGGGCTTGGTTACACGCTTTAAGTGGAGGGATGGAAGTTATTCCCAGAATGGCGTGCCATAAACGAACTGACTAGAGATATAGTTATGGAGCCCCTTGCGGAATACTATGCTCACCTAATTTGACTCAGTGCCACTGATAGATATATAATCAATCATCATCTCAGACCTAGCCCTGTCATTGCAAGTACCACTGGACATTATAATCTTAAATAACATTTTGGAAGCTGCCTTTTCATTTCATTCTGTTCACTCCTGCCTCCCTTCCTACAGCTGCTGGCTGGTTTACTTGACTAGTGTCTTCCAGGGGTGGGGGAACCTTCGGCCTCAAGGCCACGCGTAGCCCTCTAGGTCCTCAAGTGCGGCCCTTTGACTGAATCCAAACTTCACAGAACAAATTTCTCCACTCCTGAGACCAACCAATTACATCCAAATTTAAAAGTACTTCTGAATTTATCGGAGTGTTTCCAAAACTTTCTTACCCGCTGCCTAATGTGTCCTTCTGATTATACCCATTTATTATAGATGAAGAAACTCTCAGAGATGTGAAATAATTTCCTCGGGTTCACATTTACAGCTAGCAAGAGGCAGGTCTGATTTGAAAACTAGTTGCCTCATTCCAGGTTCCTGCTCTCCCTACTATATTCCCTTGCTTTCCACGAAAAAGCCAAACTCAGTGCATTAAAACAAAACAAACAAAAACAAAAAAGTCAGAGTACCTGGGTTGCTAATGCAGATTTACTTATGTAAGTACTTATGCAATCCTGGACACGTTATTCTGATTCTCAGTTTCCTTATCTGTAAAAGTCCCTTCCAACTGAGTCTGTGATCCTACATTCCATCTCCCCGACACCCCGCGCCTGTCTGCCAAAGGAGTGGGTAAGGAAAGGGTAGGGGGTAACCCTCTGACTTTTAGATGATCCCTCTGAGGAAGTATCCTCATGCAAGGCTCAGTAAAAAAGGATAGGAAATCACTAATGTGAAAATATGTTTAATAGGAATGTTATGTATAGCCTATATCAGATTGTGCGCCGTCTTGAGGGAGGGTGGTGGGGAGGAAGGAGGAGAAAAATTTTCAACTCAAAAGCATATGGAAGTGATTGTTGATAAATAAAAATAAATTAATTTAAAAAATAGAAAAAAATAAAAAAGGACAGGACCAGAGAAGACTCCCCCGCATCTGTCGCAGGCGGGGAGCCCGACGATACTCAGCCCGCCGCACCTCGTGAGGTGCGCCTCCTCGCCTTGCCCCAGGGCCCTGGGTCCAGTTCCAGTAGGGCTGGCACACACACACACACAAAAAAAAGAGGGAGGAGTAGGGAAACGGTCGCCAGAGGGGATGGGGAGAGAGGATGCTCCTCAGGACTTGTTGGACTGCTCTTAGCCCCGTTGCTCACCTTTCTTCCCGGAGCCGTCGGGCGCGCGGCTTCCCTAGAAGGGAGCGGAGAAGGCGCAGCTTGGGCGCTGCAGGTTCGTCCTAGGTCGCTGCTAGTCTGTCCTAGCTAGCGTGTGCTCTGCGAGGGTCGGGTCAGTCTGCTGGCTCCTCACATTGCAGTTCTTTCTGCTGGAGCCTCGGTCTGGCCGCTGAAACTCTTTTTTATTAATCACTGATGGTCTGCTCTGTTTGTAAGTGAGAAGTCTCTCTCCATCCACCTACAGTTGCAGAGGACTGGGAAATCCGCAACTAACTACCTGAAGGTCCCCTTCTCAGGGTTGCAGCCCCTTTCCTGCCTGGAGAGTCATTAATCAAACTGCTGTTGGGTGGGAGGAGGGAGGAAGAGGGAGAATTGGGGGCTCCCACGGCAGTCTGACCGCCTACACATCCCTCCTCCTTCCTCCAGGAGTTAAGCGAATGTGGGGGCGGGGGAAGGGGGGGGACACTAGTTATGGTTGTGACAAGAAGCGACCACAGTCCACTAACAATAGTCAGATTCTTTTCGGACACTGTAGCCACACTTGCATTGAGGGGAGCCTGCTCAGCAGTATCCAGGGTCCTAAGCCACTTCTAATACTCTTTCCACCCCAGCAGGATACATTCTCACTCTTACTTAGGACTCTTGAAAATTCCTTGGAGGACAGAGACTTACACATACAAATCTTAATCAGGCAGTTTCTTGCTACAGCAGGGAGATTTACACTCCTGGCTCAGCCTCTCTTGAAAAAAACAAACATGTTATGTATGTGTGTATATGTGTATATATAGATAATATATATGTGTGTGTGCATACATATATCTCTCAGAACAAACATGGCATTTGATTATATAAAAGTATATAAAGAACATAAAAAGGAAGTTTGTATATAAAACTGTGCCTTTTCATTGCTCAGTTTGAAAAAACTGCTAAGCAGTGTGCTGTAGTAGATAGCCAGTTTTGGACTGGGAAGATGGTATTTTAAATCTGCCTCTGACACATAGTGGTGGTGTAAACCTGGACAAATCACTTAACCTCTCAATGCTCTAGGCAGCTCTAAAGCTCTAAGCTTCCAAGAAGGTTCTGACTTGCAGCATCAAAAGAGGGAATTTTCTCATTATGGAGTTGTGTATACAAATGAAATCACAGGACAATACCAAAAGTGCCCTGCTTGTTAAGGAAAAACAACTACTCTCTTCTCTGGTTTGCCATTTTAAGCTAGTTGCAAACTAGCCCCTTTCTATTGGAACAGTGTGGCTGAAACTACACTTACACTATCTTTCCAGTATTTTGGCAGCTACTCTCTTCAGAGCACTCAGACCAAACATATCCCCCTTGCTCAGCCTCCATATTCCTTCCCTCTTCCTCCACCTCATAAAATACCTGACTTCCTTTGGGATTCCAGTTCAAGGACCACCTACTTCAGGAGACCTTTAGTAATCTCCACCTCATCAACTCCCTACACCTCTAAGACTACCCAACTGTCTATCTTTATTCCATAGATTACATATATATATATATATGTATATATATATATATATATACATGCACATATTCATACATACATACATACATACATACATACATACATTTGTTGTTGAGTTGTTTCAGTCATCTCTGACTCTCCTTGACCCCTTTTAGGTTTTTTGGCAAAGATACTGGAGTGGTTTGCTATTTCTTTCTCCAGCTCATTTTACAGATGGCAAATAGGGTTAAATGACTTGGCCAAGGTCACACAGCTAGTAAGTCCTGAGGCCAGATTTGAACTCAAGGAAGAGGAGTCTCCCAGACTCCTGGGCCAGGGTTCTACACACTGCACAAGGTAGCTGCTCTCTCTCTCTCTTTCTCTCACACACACCCCCCCACACACAATCACTCACACACATTTTATATATATATTATATGTGTATATGTACATATGGTGTGTGTAAATATATATACATATATGCATACATACATATGTATGAAGCTATAGCATGCCAAGTGGCCACACCTCAATGGAATGGGCAGATGAGAAGAATTCGTGCTAACTGCTATTAAGCAGGCACTGTGGAATGCTTAGAGCTTGGTAAGACATTGAAGAAGCCAAGGTCATCTAGGCCATTACCAACTTGACTTTTGTCTTGCCACTGGACTTCAATGACTGTAGAAGACAGAGTGCGGCTGATAGCTTTGTGCAACTCTGCCTCACATAAATCTAATTCACAAAGAAGCCAACATCACCTGTGATATCATTGGTCCTCTTTGACAAATGACAAAACAACTCTGTGTGTGTGTGTGTGCGCGTATAAACACATATGTTATGTTCCTCATTACAGTGTATGCAGCACCTTGAGGACAGACTCTTTTTGCTTTTTCTTTCTGTCCCAAGCACTTAGCACAAGTGTTCAATAAGTGCTATGTATTTTAAAATGTATTGAACTTCCTCTTCTCCTTTTTGCATCACTATTGATAGCCACACATTTCTTTCCACAACTCACCCCATCCTCTAAAAAAAAAAAAGGTCCTTCTGTGTAACAAATGTGTAATCAAGCAAAGTAGATTGACTAGTGGAGTTTGAGTATATGTTTCATTCTGCCTTTGGTTCATCTCCTGTCTACCAAGAAGTGAGAAACATGTTTCATTAATGGTCTTCTCTAGTTATGACTTAACCTTTATTAATCAGAGATTTTAAGATTTTCAAAGTTGTTTTCCTTTATATTAATATATTCTTTATATAAATCGTTCTCCTAGTTCTCACTTTACTTCAGCTCATACAAGTCCTTTCAAATTCTTTGAATCTGTAATATTCTATTATATTCATATATCATGATTTCTTCAGCCATTTCCCAAATTGATGGGGACCCACTTTGCTTCCCATTCTTTGCTTCTGTAAAAAGTGCTGCTATAAATATTTTTGTGCATATGAATCCTTTCACTTTGCCTTTGACTTCTTAGGGAGTATATGCCTAATATGTCTGTGTCAAAGTTAAATGATTTTTTTTGCATGGTTCCAAATTGCTTTCCAGAAGGAATGGAATAATTCATAGCTTCACCAATTAGTATGGCAATCTTCCCAAAGTCCTTCCAGCAACTGCTATTTTCCACTTTTGTTATCTTTGCCAATCTGATGTGTGAAGTAAAACCTCAGTTGTTTTAATCTGCATTTCTCTTATTAGTTATTTGAAGAATTTAAAAATATTTGTTGAACTGTTTGATGACCAGTTCTAATAGACTTAGCTCTTCTCAGCAATACAATCATCTAAGACAATTCCAAAAGACTCAAGATGGATTATGCTATCCACATCCAGAGAAAGAACTATGGAGTGTGAACGCAGATCAAAGTACACTATTTTCTCTTTTGTGGTTTTTCCCTTTTGTTCAGATTCTTCTTTCACAACATGACTAATGTGGAAACATGTTCAATATGATTATACATGTATAGTCTATATCAGATTGTCATCTTTGGGAGTGGGGAAGGGAGGGAAAAAATTTTTGGAATTCAAAACATAAAATGAATGTTGAAAACTATCTTTACATGTAATTGGAAAAAAATAAAATATTAAGGGAAAAAATTTGTTGATTACTTGCTTTTCTCCTTTTGAAAACTGCCTGTTTATGTCCTTTGACCTTTTATTTATTAGAGAATTACTTTTATATATTTGTATTAATTCCCATTGGATATATAACGCCTCAGCCCCTCTTTCCTTTTTCCTTTTCCCACTTGGACTATGTGGGATTTTACCTGCCCTCCCTTTCCCTGAATCTGATGAATCAAAGGTGGACTTAGGGTCTTATTGGATGAGGTTGAGTCTTAAGTTCCTCAGAAAATAAGCCAAATCATTATCTCTATCAGACAATATAATTATGTATAAAGGGAAAGGCAAAGAAGGAACTATTGATCAATAAATCATACAATAAAGTTGGGCTCATATCTATGTTTAAAGACCCTGGTACAGTGAAAAGGATTCTGGATTTGGATTCTGAGAACAAGGTTCAAATCCTAGTTCTGCCACATACTACCCGATATGACCATGGACCTTTCTGAACCATTTGGACCTCAGTTTTTTCGTCTATAAAATGAGAGGCTGGGTTAAATAACTTCTGAGGACCCTTCCAGCTCTAGAGCAATAATTTTTCAGCTGTTTGCAAGGGAAACAGTCTGAAAACCATTAATTTTTTTCTCATTTAACAAATAGTCACTGTGGGACTCCTGTGTGCAAGAGATCATGTGGAATAATGGAATACCAGTTTTCCTAAAATACTATGCAAATTTTTTCCCTGTTGCTTTTCTTTCCCCACCCCCCAATCAATCCCTTCCCACCATGACAAAATTTATGCAACATAATCCATTCTAAAACAGAGACAGTACTATAATTTGTGTGTAGAACACCTTCTGTACTAACTTTCTCAACCCCCACTTTCATTGGCAGCCTGGGTCCCAGAGAGACAGTTGACTGTGAGAGAAATGATTATTATTAAACATTTTTTCAGGGAGATACAGAGTTCCCCCCTTTTCTAAAGTCCTGATTTTAAAAGTTCAGCCTCTTGAATGAGCTTGCTGATAAAGAGATTAGATCTACCCTAGGGCCACCATTGTCTCTTGCTCAGGCTTGGAGCGGACATACTTCTTTGAACAGATAGCCCAAAGCTGGGGGTGGTCTGAGTATATAGTTTCTCTGTCCAAGGGTGACATGATGTCACTTTCAGCCCTTCATTTTTAATATAGCTCACCTCCTATTGTGTTAACCAATCAGAGCTGATTGCCACTCCTCTTCCAGAAGTACATATAAGCTGTGAGCACACCGTGATTGTCTTTGGTCTAAGAGAGACAGACAAATGACCATCCTATTAATAACATTCTGGCCTTATTAATAAAATGTTTAAATTACCCAGAAACAATACTTTTTAATCACCATAACTGCTTCTCTCCTCAGGGTTTTAGGGATAACTGGGAGGGGCTGGGTATTCTGCTACTATCATTCAAGAGCTCTTATCTGGTATGTTTCCCAAAACAGATTAACTAGATAACATTTCCCCAGTATTAATCAACCACTTGATAGCAGCTTTTCTAAAGGGATATACAGAGAAAGTGTAGCAAGGATAAAGGTACAAAAATCTCCCCAAACTGGGAGTGCACTTTCCTGTGGGGATAACGAGCTCAAGTTTAAAGTGGCTGGTAAGAAATATCCCCCAAATCAGTGGTGTACTCTCCCTCCTGAACATATACCAGGCCTTTGGCGGGACAGGGCTCAAATTTGAGACTCATAGATACGGAGACACACATGTAGGAAAGACATGTGGCCGAGGTGGTAGCTCCTGGCCCCAGGAGTCCTTTTTCTTCCCCACCAAGTTTATTTCTGGATATGACAGAGATGGACGACTTACTCTTACTTGCTGTAAGACACATTTTACACTGTGGTCTGTTGCCAAGTTGATTCACCACTAAGTTAAGCCAAGCAGCTCAGTCTTCAGGGTTGGATACTCACCAGACTTGACTATTACAGCTACTAGCAACCTCTGCAATCAGCTCCAGCAGCTGGACCTTTTGGGCTCTTCTGAACTTTTGAACCTAACACAGTTGTAACCCAGAACCTTCCATCTCTAGACAGTCACCCGCTTAAGATCAGGAAAGAATAAATACAGAAGACAAAAGAAACAGAGGCACCATGTGTTCACATTCACACAGTAGTTCTGTGGGGAGACATGGTAGGGGCTGCCACAGGCTCTCCCTCCATCCCACTCCTTACCTGAAGACTCACAGAAATTCAGGGCCAAGAAGCAAAAGTGCAAACAAGGCAGAGGGAGGAGTTATATCAGTACTTAACGAATTCAAACTCTACTTCAGCTAGATATTCTCTGGCTCTGAAGCCATTTAGAATACTCATTATTCAGCACTAGCCTGTTCTGGAAGTAGGCCCCCCAAACCCTAATTATAGGTTTCACAAGTCCACACGTTATGAGTCAGAAGCAGGATAAACCCAAGAGTGCCTTGCTCCAAGACCAGCTCTTTATCCACTACTTTACACAGTTGCTTCTGTATTATGAATATTAATCTAATATGGAAAATTTTGTCTAGGTTTAGACCATGAGTGATTTTCAAAGAGGAATACCCATTCCTAGACTTTTTTTTAGGCAATTGGGGTTAAGTGACTTGCCCAGGGTCCCACAGCTAGTGTCAAGTGTTTGGTCTGAGGCCGGATTTGAACTCAGGTCCGCCTGACTTCAGGGCCGGTGCCATTTCTAGACTTCTTAAGAACTGGGAAAAGGAATATCCCAAACAGATCAAACAAATGGGAAAAGGACCCACATGTACAAAAATATTCATAGCAGCAGCTCTTTTTGTGGTGGCAAAGAATTGGAAATTGAGAGGAAGCCCATTAAATGGGGAATGGCTGAGCAAGTTGTGGTATGTGAATGTAATGGAATTCTATTGTGCTATAAGAAATGATGAACAGGCTGACTTCAGAAAAACCTGGAAAGACTTGTATGGTCTGATGCTGAGTGAAGTAAGCAAAACCAAGAGGACTTTGTACACAATAACAGCCATGTTACGCGATGACTAGTATTGTTAAACTGAATCCTTCTCAGCATTACAAGGATCTAAGACATCTCCAGAGGCCTCGGGATGGAAAATGCTGTCCACATCCAAAGAAAGAACTATGGAAGTTGAATCGCTATCATTTATTTTTACCTTCTGTTGAGTTTTGTTTCATCTTTCTGATGGTTCCTCCTATTGGTTTTAATTTTTACTTACAACTTCACTAATGTGAAAATATGTTTAATAGGAATGTAAATGTAAAGCCTATATCAGATTGTGTGCCATCTTGGGGAGGGTGGGGGGGAGGAAGGGGGAGAAAAATTTTCAACTCAAAAGCATATGGAAGTGATTGTTGATAAATCAAAATAAATTAATAAAACTAAAAAAAAGGAAAAAAAAGAACTGGGAGGAAAGCAGAAGACAGCCTATGAATATGAGATGGTGAGAGATTCTGTCTGGGTCCTTTTTTTGGTCTTTGTTGCTAACTAGCAAACATGGGTAGTTGCTTAATTTTTTAGTGTTCCAGGTTCTTGTATAATTGGGGAGAAAAATAATTTATCCAGCTGGGGGTAGTAAAAATATGCCTGGGTTAAGAGTCCAAAGGGCATGTGAAAAAACTGGATGATCTCTCACATCCCTTTCCAGCTCTAACACTTCTAATTCTGTGAAGCATTTTGATGAATCTGAATTTCAATCTTAGGTACCAGAGAATATTTGATCTCAGGCATGAACTTAATTCCCATGCACCAGTACTAAATAAGAAAGGTTTTACGTATAAAGAAACACAAAACTTAGTTGGTTCAAAATGTTTAATTTCTTTTGGAGTCTGTGTTCAAGCTCTTTATTTTTTAAAGTAAATAGCATATAATGGCTAAGAAAAAAACCAATCTGATCTTTGAAATAAAAACTTGAAAAGCAATGATATTAAGTGGAACTCACTATTAGGATCTAAAAAGAAAGTATAAAAAGGCAAGCACTAATTTTTTCCTCATAATAAAATCAAATCACGAAACTACACAGTTAGAGGGGATATCACAAAATAAGAATCCAGATGTGCAAAGCTATATGTATGCCTATAGTTTAGATCTTTTTTTTTAAATCAAAAAGACATCATTAAATATAAGTGTCACATCAGGGGCAAAGGTGCTTTGTGAAGGTTCAGGTGCATCCTTCCGGGTATCAGGTTTTGCTTAAGCTTCACGATCAGCTTTCTGTATTAAAAGACAAAACAAAAACATGCTTCAATGTTAAATAATTTTTCAAAAATTATAAATTATGATTTAATGGCATGACAGCAAAGACACAACTCATTAACATTACTTTAGTCTTTCACCAAAACTTGATGAATGTTTTGAGTTTAAATTGAGCAGCAGAAATCTCTTAGGATTTGGGAGCAGGGAGCAGGCAGTGTTGGAGAAGGATGAGAATCAGAGGACTAGATTAAGGATGTGGGAACTGTCCTACGACACTACTCTGGCACTACTCTTATAAGGGTGGTATTCTTAGTGATTTCTGACAACTGTGGATGGGATTGTGCCTTTCTCTTCCTTCGACCTAAAGCAATCACTACAGGACCTTTAAGACCAAGATGGTGGCATCTTCTGTTATCATGGGTGGGTGGGTTTCTTCTGCTGCACTTCTGGGTTCCCAGTAGTCGCTACTGAAGATGACTATGCTAGTGGAAGGCAGAGCACAGGATCATAGATGTAGAGGTGGAAGGGACTTCATAATCCATCTAGTCCAGTCCACTCATTTTACAATTGAGAAAACTGAGGCCCAGAGAGGCTCAAGGTAAAATAGGCAGGAAGTAATGGGGCAAAAATTTGAATTCAGGTCCTACGACTTCAAGTCAGGATTTCTTTGCATTGTACTACACTGGTTCCCAAGTCCTAAAAACTGGAATGACTAGGTATGGCTATGTTGGGCCTCCCAGAAAAGCCTAATTTCACAGAAGCTTGTCATGAGGTTAGTCATTATGTGATAATTTTTCAGGTGGCCGAATCAACTCTTGAAGATGTCTACTGAAGTATGGTACCTGGGTATAATTCTATAGCAAAAAACCTGGAGATCCCACTATTGTGAGGCTCTTCGGTGTCATGTTATGCTTCAATCAAGTTATAGACCATTGTACTACCTATAATTTGCTTACAGAAGTCACTTTGAAAGTGTGCAACAGGCACCAAATATGTTTTGAATACACATATGCTATACACTATTTGTTTGAAGTGAGATGTTATAATATCCTATATATTATTCTGCATATGTATTTGAATACAGAATATTTAAGATCAGCAAAGCAAAAGAGATTTCTGGATTATGAATATATGCAAGTTCTTTTTATGAGCTGTGTGAGTAAAGAGTGTATGATCAAAAATATTCAGTTTTCAAAATTCTTCTCAAAGAATATGGGAAACTATTTGTTAAAACTGTTAGAACATAATGTTAAAACAAAGTACCTTTTAATGCTATTTAACTTCACAGCATCAGATTTTTAATAACTTCATAACTCAAAAAGCTAATGATAGTCCTATGCTTTAGTAGAAGATTCTGAGTATTTTAGAAATGCTCAAATAATAATGTAATATAATGCAAATCATGTGCCCTGGAGATTTCTTAGGTATGTCTGAAACAAAGTATATTAGAATCCGACTAACTAGAGTTATTATTTTCACATTAACAAAAAGATGGATTGACTCTATTAACCATGCTTGCGTTTTAATCAAACAGTTAAAATAAATCATGTAACAATTAGCCTTTTTCATTTTACTGGCAATACATAATTCTCAGAGGATCTTATGTGTATGAAAAGCATAAAATTATTTAATGTCTATTTTTAAATTACCAAGGCTCAAATACGTTCTACCACATTTGAAAAGAAAGGAAACATCTGTCAGAACTATTTACTGTGATAAACACAGAAAGGAAAAATACTGAATCTTTTCTTCTGCTTAATACCACATATTATTTTTAATCAAACAGTGAAGGCATTTGTTCAGAATCAACTTTTAAATAAAAAACAGCTTTAAGCTAATCTTCAATTAAAATGTACATTGACAATATCAAGTTCAGTTTGAGATTCAATAAAAGCCAAGGAGTCCAACTTCCTTTCCATGTAGGAAAAGAATGCTTTTGCAAAAGTACATAAGCATAGATTGTGAACAGTTATAAAGGGGGGAGGGGAAGTTTTCACACACACACTGTTGGCCAATGCTCCCTTGTAGTAAATGAGCACAGATCACAATATACAGAGCGTGAGCATCAGTTTCCTGGCATAGGGGAGAGTTAATTAATAGATTATTCAGAAACATATTCTGATTCTAGATTTTGAGCTTGCCTAGTACTAGATTGGAAAGTTAGTTAGCTATTATTCTTGTATGTTTATATAGTATTCTTTTGCTTATGGTGCATTACTTGCTTCATGACCTTGCTATCCCTGTAAAATTAGTACATAGGAATATGAAGTGTACAACCTATGTACAATCTATGTGAGTATTTTACAAAAATTCTACCTAAAATATTTGGTCATTCTTTGTTGTGTAAATGAGCATCAGAAATTATATTCTCATTTATGCTTGGAGGCAAGAAACATCTTTTTATAATTCTATAACGTCCAATTTAAGGAACTCAAAACCAATTCACATGTAAATATTTCACATTTTGTGGGATATGACAATGAAATATTGCTTAATACATACAACTGTATTGTATAGGTCAGTGGCAGAACTGGAATAAAATTTAGAACTCTGGACATTTTATTTTACTTTGTTGTAACCCATCTGTTACACTGACCTTCACCAGGATGAGTTGAAAGCAGAATGGTTAGAAAAGATGCTCATTAATAGAGCAGTAAGCTTGAAGACAGGAATGGTTTTGGTGTTTGTAACTCTGGCACTTAACACAATGTCTGGCACATAGTAGACAATTAATACCTATTGAATTGAATCTAAGAAGAGGGGCAGTAATCATACTCCTCAATCAACAGGCAAGCATTTCTTGTGTCTTATTAAGTGCCAGGTACTATGATAAGCCCTGAGGCATATGAAGACAAAAAGCAAAACAGGTAGCTAGGTGGCTTCAGTGGATAGAATGCTGGGCCTGGAGTCAGGACGACCTGAATTCAAATCTAGCCTCAGATATGTACTAGCTGTATGATATGAGCAAATCACTTAACCTCTATCAGCTTCAATTTCCTCATGTGTAAAATGGGGATCATAATAGTACCTACATCCAGTTGTAAAGCTATTAGCACACAGTAGGTGCTTAATAAATGCTTGTTTGCTTCCTTCCTTCCTAACACAATTTCTTCTTTGTGTCAGGCACTGTGCTAAGTGCTGAGGTTATAAAAAGGTAAAAGAGTCCCTGACCTCAAGGAGCTCACAATCTAATGGGGGGAGACAATAAACAAACGTGTACAAACTATATACAAGATGAATAAGAAATAATTAATAGAGAAAAGTCTCTAGAATTAAGAGGGGTTGGGAAAGGCTTCCTTTATAAGATGGGATTTTAGTTAGAACTTGAAGCCAGGAAAGCCGGGAAGTGGAGATGAGGAGAGAGAGCATTCCAGGCATGGGGGACAGCAAGGAAAAAATGCCCAGAACAAGAGATAGGGTGTTTTGTTCATGGGAACAGCAAGTAGGCCAGAGTCACCGGATCAAAGAGCACATAGAGGGGAGTAAGATGTAAGAAGACCAGGAAGGTGTGGAATGGAGGAAGGGGAGTTATGAAGGGCTCTGGGCACCAAACAGAGGATTTTGTATTTGATCATGGAGGTGATAGGGAGCCACTGGGTTTTATTGAACAGGCAGGTGAAATGGTCTGACCCGTTCTGGAGGAACATCACTTTGGTGGTTGAAGGGAGGATGGATTTGGAGTGGGGAAAAGCTTTAAGGCAGGTACTCCCACCAGCAGTCTACTGCAGTAGTCCAGGCGGGAGGTGATGAGGGCCTGCGTCAGGGTGGTGACAGTCACAGAGGAGAAAAGGGGCATATTGAAAGATATTGCAGAGGTGAAATCAACAGGCCTTAGTAGCAGGTTGGATATGGAGATAGTGAGATAGAGGAGCTAAGGTTGACACTTGGGTTGCTAGTCTGAGGGACTGGGAAGATGGTGTTGTCCTCTACACTAATACAAAAGTTAGGAAGAGCGGAAGATGTGGGGGGAAAGATAATGAGTTCTATGTTGGACATGTTGAATTTCAGATGTCTAGTTGACATCCAGCTGACATATATGTATGTATGTATGTATGTATGTATGTATGTATGTATGTATGAAAATGTGATATGGAATAAATGCGTATGTGAAATATTTATATAATACATTGAGAAAATGAATACAAAGTAGTTTGGAGAGACAGTATACTAGCAGCTGAAAGATCAGGAAAAACTTCCTATAAAAGATGGACTTGAGTTGAGCCTTAAGAAAAACAGGGATTCTGAGAGGAATGAGGTGAAGAGGAAATGTGTTTCAGGAACAGGACAGACCAGGCTCAGTCATGGAAATGGAGCATCACATGATAGGAATAGGATAGGTTGTATCAGAGACTACGTGGAGGTCATGTGTTACAATACTGGAAAGGGATCAAGAGAGCAAAGTGTGACGAGATTTAAATGTCAAGCAGAGGAGTTTAGATTTAATCTTGGAGGTAATAGGGATCCACTGAGTTTATTGGCAGTGACACGGTTGGATCGTCACTTAAGAAACATCATTTTGAAAACTGTGCCTGTGTGTGTGCATGTGCACATGCATGTGCATGTACGCATGTGTGTATGTGTGCGTGTGTGCGCATAGGGGCAGAGGATGACAGTATTTGAAAGTAGGGAGAGGTTTGAAGATTATATACTGTTGATAGTCCAGGAGAGAAGTGTGGAGGCCCAGAACAAGGGAAGTAGCTGTGTAAGGAAGGCGATGTAGGTAAGAGATGTTGAGAGAAATAACAAGATTTAGCTACTGATTGGATATGTTGAGTTAGAGGAGTTAAGGATGACACTGAGGCTTTGAAGCAGGGGTCCTGACCATTTACAGCTGACCACCTTTTACCTTTGGTTGTATCTGTTACTTGTGATAAGTAACCTTATTAGCTGTGTGATCCTGGATAAGCCATATAACCTTCCTAAGTCTCCTAAAATATAAAGTGGGGAAAGTAACACTCGTTGCAGCTACCTTTCAGGCTTACTGACTCAAATGAGATAATGTATGCAGAGCTCATTGC